CTGTCGTTAAGCCTCTTTTCCCTTTAAAGGGGATATGCAATATAAATTATAATTTAAATTAGCAACAGCCCTGTAATGCTTAGTTTTAATTTTGGTATTTTTCATCTATATTCTAAAAATAGCGATACCATTTTCTCCATGGCGTCATTTAAAGACTAATCCTTGTCATATGACTCTTAGGCTGTGTTCAGACGGGGGCATAAAGGGCATAAAATATGGGAGTTCCATTCACACCTGCGAGACAGGGTGTAAGCCATGGCCAATGAGAGAAGCTAAATTTGTGCACACTTACAATTTTCCCGCTCGATTGATTTCCCACGTGCGCTTTGCTTGTTGTTTTCGTTATTTCGTGTCATGGCTTTTTCAGCTTGCCACAAAGTTTTACTGGCTCAACAGAATGCTCTTTTATCTGCCTTTCTTATTAGCCAAAAGGCAACAGAAGAAGGTAAAAAAAGAAGAAGAATGAAATGGCCAAGAGATATTTTTTTGGAAAGACCAATACTTAGTGGGCACAATGAGCTTTTTACGTAACACTGGTGATATAAATGGAACTAAAACTCCAAGAGCATAATAATTTTACAGCATTATTAATTATTCAATCAAATGCAATTGAAACCAAAACTAACTGAAATAAGATCGCTTCCTGAACACAAGGCACTTGCTTTATGTAGCTCAGCCTAGCTGGACTGTCTTGTGCTGTCTTCTATTTCCAAACAATATAAAAATGTAACTGTTCCGGAACAGGCATGATTAGTGTGCCAAATATTTATGGCTGCAAATGTTTATTGAAATAAAGATGAATATTTAATCTGCCTAGGCTGTTAAGTTTGCTTTTCATCATGGATCAACATCTCAACATTCTAAGCCATTATTACACAAACATTTATATATTTACTTACTTAAAAACACTTTTATGTATGGTATACTTTGAAACAAGACATGATACACAATGCAGCATTTCACACAGCTAAAATCTTCTTCTGCCCTCGAATTATCTTCTGAACTTTCAATACAAATATCTATATCTGAATCCAAATCATTTTCATTTATCTGATAAAAGATTTGCATCTTTAAAATCAGGTTCCTCATTCAAAAAAATGTGCTTTAGATTTCTAGTTATAAAGTGCATTTAAAATACAGCTATAAAAATTCCGGAAAAAACCTCCAAATCCCCCCCTTATTATGCCAGAACTCCTACCATCATACATAGCAAGTAAAATCGACGAATTTGCATGTTCAGCTTGTTTGTGCATCTGAAAACAGTTGGATTATTTCTAAGAATGAGCCCACTTTGTCTGTGTGCACTGGGACAAAAGTCAAATTCGTGAGTGGGACTTGTCCATTACCATTTAGAATTAAATTTGTAATGCAAGCTGTGTTTATTTGTGCTAACTGGTGTGTTTTACTGGGATGTGAACTGAGCTCGTTGATAACCATCACAAATCATTTTGTGCCTAGTAATGGTCAAGTATTTATATTTTCCTTAAAGGCCACCACTCATTCAGTGCTGAACACATGAAAGCAAATTAAAGAATGTTCACAAAAGCATGATTTTTTAAAAAATGTGGAATCATAAAAATAAAACAAAATTTAGAATGTCGAAAAATAGGGCAATTTAGGACACTTCTCGAAACTTTAGAAATATTACTACAACTCTGAACACTGACAGCATTATCTGCAATTCAAAAACAAATAACACCAGGTTGAAAATACATCTACTACTCTTCTGGTTAAAAATTATTTCAATGTCTCTGCACATCCTTGAAGATTCAGTACACAGTATAAAGACTGAGATCCGGACGTCCAATATATGGAATGATCTAAAATACGGACCTCAAAGCACCAACTTTTTTTTTCTTAAATGCTTTAAGTATGCACTTTTGATTTTTATTCCCTCCCATAATAAAACATGTGCAGAGTCCCAATTTTTAATTTCACTTCCGCTCTATATAAAATACCTCGTTATTGAAGAAACAACCATTTCTATGATCAATAAATTGGCTCTGCATCTTCTTGGCATACATCTCAAATCAAAACATTCTACATAGAAACATCGCTGACTTTACACCTTCTAATACATCCTTGACCCTAACCTGGAGAATCGTTATGTATTATATTTTGCTTTCATCACCACGTTTATCAAAACATGAATGACTACCTGAGTAATTACTCCTGCAGCAATGCCTAAAAAATTTTTTTATATTAGTAATTTTATATTAGTAGACCAAGCATAATGTTAACCTTTTATGTTGACATTATGCTTGTCAATGATTGCAGATTTAAGTTAAATGCCCAAAAAAAGCTGATGAGGAAAAATTTAACATAATTTTTTCTTCCATATGCTAAAAAAAGATTTTGCTAATGATACTCATAGGCCAAAAGATAACATTTAGTGCTATTTGAATTACGAATGACTGATTTGTTATTCACATAAACCCAGAACCGGCACCAGAGCTCGTATGGACGCACTGGGTAGCAGAATTTACAAAAGACAAAATTTTTGGAATTTAGAGAAACAGAGAGCAGCAAAATTAAGGGATGACAAAATTTTTTGAATTTAGGAAAAACACTGGGACCCAAAATTTAGAACTTAGGGAGGCGCTTGGTAGCAGAATTTAGGACCTGCAGAAATCACATCAGGCAGTAAGATATATAGCGCCGGCCCTCGATTAGCCTTAAGTGTATGTGGGAATTTATTTCTTCAGAACTTAGATAAGCCTTAAGCATGTGCAAGAAATAGATGTTAAGTATAATAAATAACTAAACTAATAGAGTTCAGGCTTAATTGTCTCAGTGCACGATAGAATCAAGACAAAATATAGCAAAACAACTTGTTGTTCGTCGCCAATCTCATGATACAGACAATGTATAGAAGGTACTATTAAGTTAAACTAAAATTATATTTTGCCAATTCCAAAAAAATTCCAGTTAAAATAGCAGACTGCGCTGTTCCTTACCTTTCTGATTTGATCCAGCTTATTATTTTTTGCAAGCTTTTATTAGCACAGCAATTTTATGAAAATTAAGTTTGAACTTTCCATTATGTTGAAAAGAGTTTCTAATTTTGAAGCTGCAACAGGAAATAAAAAGTCCATTAAAGAAAAAGTGGAATTGCTGCAAAAAACTGATAGAGGTATATCTGTCTCAAAAATTATTTGTATGCAAGAAGTATGGCACTGGAAAGTCAACTGTATATCACATCAGAAAACAGAAAAAGTTTTCAGTTTTCGTGAATTCCGACACACCACTCGCAATGAATAGCAGAAAAATTCTTTGTTACGCTAAAAGTCATGATCATAACAAAGTGATGATTGAATGGGTCAGACAGCAACGCGAAGAGGGCATGCCATTGACGAGTCAAATGCTAATGACTCAGGCTGAAATTATTTCACTAAGAAATGAACTTAAAAACTGAGTGCACATATTTAATAGGCTGAATAACCAAATTTTAAAATTACCATGTTGTAAGGCAGTTACAAATTTTAGGTGAAAAAGCTTCAGCTACTAAACTATTTGCAAATGAATGCACTGAACTCATTAATAGTGAAAAGTTATCAACAGAACAAATTTACAATGATGATACTGATGAGACTGGTCTTTTCTGGCAATAAGTGCCGCGAAATACCTTGGAAAACCTCTACAGAAAAGGCTCCAACTAGTGTCAAAGATTCTAAAGCGAGGCTAACAATTTTAGCATGCGGAAATGCTGCAGGAATACAGAAGTGTAATTTTCTCTGTTATATATTGTGCAAATAAAAGAACATGGATGATACAAGCATTAATGAATGATTGGTTTGAAAACCATTTCATATCCGAGGCTTGGCAACATTTGAATTTGGTTGGTTTACCTGATGATGCAAAATTTGTCCTGCTTGTAGACAACTGTTCAGCACATACCTCATTTAAAGTTTCAGTGAAAGACAATATTTCCATATTATTCTTTCCTTCAAATTGTACATCCACCATTCAGCCTATGGATATCAGAATACTGCATGTGCTGAAATGCAAATATAAAGTAACATTTTAAAACCAATTTAAAATTTCTTGAATAATGACAAGACTATTAAAAAATTTTTGAAATATTTTAACATAAAATCTGCTGCATGGAGGATAGTCTGATCACGGAAGGATGCGTCTCCAGATAATTTCAAAATGCTTGGCATAATTTATAGCCAGCTACCATATTTCATGGTGAGGATGATGAAAATGTTATCTGTGAATTTGAAGGTTTTCGGATACTGGAAACCAAAGGTGAAATTTTCCAATTAATGAATTTTGTAAATATGGAAAAGTGGTAAAAAATGAAGATGATATAACAGAAGTTTTTGATTACGAGGATAATGCCCCAATCATCAATCAATTAACGGATGATGAAATCTGTAGAATGGTTCTAGATTCAGAAAATACCAATAGAAAAGAAGTAACAGAGAGGTAATTGAAAACGAAAAAATTTCGACTGACAAGTTAGTCGGAATTCTTGGACACAGCAATTACAGGACTTGAACAATGGAACTTTGTAACTAAACAAAAAATTATGAAAGTATTAGCACAAAAAATGAAGCAAGTTAAACAACTTACATAAATGCTTCATTATTTCATAAATCAGGATTTCATATTTTCAGTTTGTACATGCCAATTTACTAGATTTAAAGTGATGATCTAATATCCGTAAAAATCCCAAATCTAGAATTGCTGAAATCCCGACGAGTCTGGATCTCAGACTTTGTAGTGGAGCTTTTCAAAAAGGCTACATCCTGAAATTTCAGATATATGGCTAAGATTCTGAGGAGAGATATCATAAAACTTTTGGGAATGAAAAAGTATTTAACAGATATTTAACCATCTGGAGAAAAATAAAAAGCATGCCTCAATATCAAGCTCTGATTGTTTTTTTATATATTAATTAAATTCACAATTTGTAAAAATACAGTTTCCAGAAAATTAATGCATAAAGAGTATTTATTTTATATCTTAAATAAGAAATGAATAAACAAACATAATTTTAGCACAAATTTAATTTTATTTGCATAAAGCTGATTACTGAGCATAAGAAATAGTAAAAACATACATAATAGCATATTTTTAAGTCTCTATTATTAAGAGAATTATATTATATAGCATGAATTTTTAGACAGACATTCAACTATACATAGCAGTATGCCAACTAAGCAATATTTTTGTGTACAGCAATAAAATATTTTATTCATTTGATGACCATAAACTCTCTTCATTTGGTTTTTGCTTTACATAAAGCATTTATCAACTTGCTGAAAATTTAATTATATTTGATGTACAAGCTGAAAAAGGAATTCCCTCTTTTTTTAAGAAAATATAAAAGAAATAAAATGTGACAATATATAACCTATATAAAAAAGATTACATTACTACTAAACACTTTACATTTAGAATTTTTACGGAAATTCACATTCTCTTTCTATTCCAACAAATTTCAGCTGTTCAGTTGGTCCATACCTATAAAAAAATTTAAATATAAGCTATAAATCCTAGTAATCATACTTATTATTTTTCATAAGAAAAGTGATAAGTAATATAAAAAAGAAGGAGCAGTTAAATTGCCATCCAGCACATTATTTACAAAAAAGTGATAAAAACAGGAGGGGGGAAAGAAATACCGTATTTGTGCATATACAAACCACGTGCATTTTTAAGCTGTACTCCATTTCAGTGAAGAGGATGAAATGACAGTTTATGCTTATTGTAAAGTGCTGCTCTGTGAGCATTTCACCATGATTCAAGTGACAGTAAGTTATATGAAATTAAAACTGCATATTTTAAGCAAAAAATAGTGGAAATTGAGCAGCAAGAAGAAAGTTTCATGTAGATGAAAAAGAGCTTCTGGTGATGGACTCATATAAAGATTCTTTTGAGAAAACATCATAAAATCAGCAATCTCTTCATGGAAAGATAGCAAATAATCCTGACTTAGAAGCAAATCTGCTGCAATATTTCCATGACATTTGATCAAATGGATTTTCTGTTGACATAATTCAATCTAAAACACAAAAAATTGTTCAAAATATTAAAATTCCCAAAAATGAATTTAAGGAAAATTATGGTTGTCAAGATGTTTCATGGCATGACAGGAGCCTGTGATTTATCAGCAAACTTCCTAACAGCTACCAACAGAAACATTTCCACATTTCAGAAATGTATTTTTAGTTTGAAAAAGATACATGCTATGACTTTGGGAAATAGAAAATGCTGATGGAACACTTATCTTCTTTCATATGCCAAGTGACACTACAGTTAAGCAGGCAAGTAACAGTTCTGGTGAAAACAGTGATAGCAGAAGAGCAATACTGAACCAAATGCATTCATCACTGATAAAAGCTTCCACTTTATGTCAGTTTTTAGTGCAAAACCCAGTCAGAAGATAAACTACAGCTTGAAATACTGGTGCGAGTATAATATCAATTATAATTTTGTTTTTACATACAAATGCACTATTAAATCAACAGTTCATACTAGTTCAGAGATCATTTGACCAAAAACATAAGGAAGGAGAGATAAAGGGGAAAAGTAGCATGGTTGTGGTGTAAAAAAGGGTGACTGGAATGCTGCAACCACTTCCTGAATTCATTACATGCCATTTAAAGGTTCATCTGCATCTTTTTACTGTTTTTGAAGATGAAGTGCTAAAGAGATGCCACTAATCAGATAGCTGTCAGACTTTCTGATGAAAATCACTATAAAACTTTCAGGAGTATTCAAGAATATGACCAAAACAACAAATGCAGAATGTGTAGCAATTGCCCGTAACCTCTAGATTTGTTATACATATCTGTAACATTTTCAACCATAACTTGGTAACAGAGATCACACACCCCATCAAAAAATTGCACACGTCATACACATACATCAACCACTCCATGGCATGGTAATGTGATGGGAGAAGGCAGAACTGTGAGCACTATTAATGAATGTATACACAAATATGTAATGACAACACTAAACTCACAGATAGAAGCATTAAATATTTTTATGTACAGTAAAATTTATGTCCATAACAGAAGAATGGTTAAACTATTGAATGAATATGCTGGTTTTTAAACTGGAATAAGTGAATAACATTTTCCATTACTTACTTCTTTTAATGCAAGGAGTCAGCCTACGGTTGCATGTTACGTGGCCTCTAGAATTTGACATATGGTGAAATTCTGCCATTTTATGTTACATTTGAATGGTGAAATTGTACTAATTTATGTTCTTTTATATCATCTGTTTCAAGAGCCATGGTAATTTGCCATATTTTGTACAGTGTTGCCTTGCACTTTGTGGAAAGTGCTTCTAAGGCTATAGTTTGAAATGCATAGCAAACTGCCATACAAAGTGCATGTTGGAACTGTACTACTGGATACTTCTGTTACCTCCACTGCGAAAGTCTGAACCAGAAAATGATAATTACAAGCCATTTGGCTAATTTTATAATACTTATTACTTTCCAGCATTACTTGTTAACAGTTAAAATGTGTTCATGCTCTGTATCACACCACTACAATCTGCCCTACACATATCATGTATATTCCTTGCCCATGATGATCTAACAAATTCATAATAGATATATTACATTTGTCAAACCATGCCTGCACATATTGTGGATGTGTACATCACTTTATATACATTGTTCTGAACAACTGCAAAATACCATATTTTGCCCTTGGTGTTTAATCACCCCTGGAACTTTTGCAGAACACTGGAAATCCAGTTGTTAGAAAACTTTGCTGTTTCAGCTAAGCCAATGAATTCTGACTTCATGAACATTCAACACTAGAAAAAATGCTATCCAAATGTTTCAAAGTTGTGTCCATTTTCAATGAAATAGACAGATCAGAAGATTACTCGGTGTATCTAGTTCAACTGAGAGTAAAGATTCTCAGATGATGGAAAATCTCAAGTGATCTGTAAGCAATGCTAACAGTGATAGCAGAATTCAAGAACAAAAACTGTTGTCAGTTTCATATGAAGACAGTGATTACAGTTTTTGCAATCCTAAGGTAATAAAGACAGTTTTATGATAAACTGCTTTAAAATTATTCATCCCCTTAAATACACACTGCTTCATAAATTTCATTAGAATCTTTGAATGAGAAGTGTAGCCTGCACATGCATAAATATGGCATACATTATGATTTTCTCAAGTATTAAAATTTTGTGCTCAAGTATTGTGTTCTAAAATTAAATTATATTATATATTTACCTTTTTCAGGATATTCTGAAAAATAAAAATTATCTAGCAGAGAGAATTTTCACACAACTTTTATGCTCATAAATATTAAAAATATTCATTAATTCTGATAAACACTGTTGCACTAAATTAATTAGAATTTTTAAAAATATAAAATTTCCATTTAAACCACATTACTCAATACATCATCACATCATTTTAAAAATTAAGCTTACAGCTAGATGATAATATTTTACCACTATCCTCATATTTTTGTAATTTTGAATCAATTATTTAAGATCTTATTACCTCTTTTTTTTTTTTTTTCATTTCTTTCTTCACAATAATTTAACCATTTAAGGAATATCATAATTAAAAAAAGAAGGATAGTAAAAATAGCACAGATTTAGAATAGAAACAACTAAAGTGAAAATATCATAAATAAGAGGAAAAAAATGATAAGTATAATGCATATTTATTAGAAAATTATAAAAGTACTGTGAATAAAGCTTAAGTGATTATTTGACAGAATACAGCAGCAAATTTTTGTAAATACTGATGTTTTCTTATCTATAATTTGGTTTGTATGATTTTTTAAAGGTTGTGTATTGTTATTATTTAATTATTCAATGCATTTTAAATGATAATTTTGATTGTTAACGGTATATTTAATTTTGTAATTGTGACCATTCACTGAGTTTGCAAGTTTTTATTTCAAGCTTTCTTTTGTAGAATTTTAAATCACTTGACATTGGAATTGTAAGAATAGCTCAAGTATAACTGAAGTTATGGGCAGATACTGCCTTAAAGGGCCTTCATGCCATTTTGTGGTTTCTCACTAACATGATAACATTCTGGAAGCTTTCAATCATGGTCAGCTGGTCAAGGGAAAGGAACTTGAGGGCTATTTGCCTAAATAGAGAGATACCTTCACAGAGGATTTCTTAATAAAACTGGTTCACAGATGTTTAGCTATTGAAACTTTTGCTCTATGAATAGTGATTTAAATAAACTTTGCCCTATGAACAATTTTCGTAATAAGGTATATTCATTGAATGATTAGGATGATTTATTTTTAATCTCCATGTTTTCCTATGAATGGATCTTTTACAGCAGTTTACCTTGTTTATAAGAGCTGCTACTCATTTGAAATAAATATTTATGTTTTCCCTGTCCACATCTCAAATTACTAGAAAGAGATTTTTATGAATCAGCAGCATGTAACAATATTTTAAAATATAAATACCTATTAAAAAATAAAACTCACCTATAATCAAAGAACAACTCTTCTCCAGTCTGAATAGCTCTCTTTGCAAAAATACCAATGCGATGATCTCCATTCACCATCATAACTTTGGCATAGCAATTAGGATTAATGGAATGATTTGCAAATCGAATCTTGTTACCTTTACGAGTAGCATCAACCACAAAATCTAAGCAGAAAGGGAAAATCAAAGAAAATTTTAATGTATTTAATAGTTTTTTAAAAAAGAACTAGATTTTGATATGTTACACAAACTAAAGTAGATATTAAAATTGATCTTAGAAATTTGATAAGTACCATATCACATCAAATTTTCTTACATAGCTGTTAAACTAACAGGATGTGTTTGATTCAGACTAAGTTGAGTAAGGGAAATAAACTCATGAATTTTGATGCACGAGAAATGAAATTCTTGAAATCTGGTTTCTAGACATTTAAGTGAACCTTCCACTGAAACATTTGTGAATAATGATTTTACATCAAAATAAACCATGACAGAAGTTCTAGGAGAAACACTTTAATTTATTTATAAATTCTACTGAATTTTTTATGGTGTAAGTGTTATTAACTAAAAAAAGGCGAAAATCTAGAAACTAAATATTTAGCTAATGGGTACAAGACAGTTCAAAAATCTGATTGACAGGGTAAAATAGAATACCACTTTTACAAATTTAGGGTAGGTATGGTATATTGAGATTACAGCAAACACTAGAGCTATCTGCCTAAGGGGAGGGATGCCTTCATGGAGGACTTTCTAAGGGAAACTGGTTCGTATACACGTTACACATGGGGAAAACCACGAATACGCCCATGCAGCCATCCTGTTCGTGGGATTCGAACCTCGGACTGAACTACCAGTGTTCAGCGACTTTACCACTCGGATTTGTGAAGAATTAATCACAGTTTTCATTTTTGAGAGGTCCAAAGGTGACGGATCTTTAGGAATCAAATTACATGGCCCTTCATTTAAGAGTCATTAACATTTTTGTCCATAACAATTATCTTGACACCAGTCAGCCTCTGAAATGACAATACCTGGGTTAGAATGAATTTCATGCAACACAGCATTTTCTCTTGCATTTAGATTATATTCATAGGTTTACTTTTAAATTTCACATTGTGGTTGATAAGATGCCTATTCATTTTTTTCTGTGTGTCTGAAATTTTAATGAATTTGAAAGCTTTTTCAGGGAAAACTAAAATCTTTGGAATCAGAGGTTTAGAGGTTTGTCAGAAATCAAAATTATATTTTAGAATCCTCTACTATTCCTCTGATGAACTAACAGAAATACTACTTATTGGGTTGGTGTTAATCCAAATGCATCACATCCCCCCAACCAATTGTAGAATAAATGCCACCAACCTACTCCAATAGATGACAGCATATCTAAGGAAGGCCTAGTTCTTTGCACATAGCCGACAAGACTTAAGCTCATTTACATTCATGTGAAAAACCTGAATACACTTGAATGGCATATGGCTTACAAAGAGGTAAAACAATGTTCCGTTTAATGTTTTTGAATGTTAGGTAAAAGTATACTTGAAAATGTTAATGCAAAGAATATTAGGGGACTAGCTTAGTCCCTCTACTCCACTGACAGCACACCATGGGTAAAACTATAATTATTACATTCTACGTACATTTTACTTTATAACAATTTTAAGAATCTAAACATGAAAAGTGATTACTCATACTAAGTGCCATAGTTTACAATATATCAAAATCACATTAATTAATAAAATAGTATACCATTATTTAAGTTGAAAAGGAAACTGCACATATATTTGTCATACACCTTTCCTCTTCTATCAGCTTCATCTTGTGAAATAATCTTAAAAAAAAAAAAAAAAAAATCTAATTAAAAATTTTATTAAATTTCAATATTTACATATTATATGACAAGAATTTCAACATAAAGGATAATTTCAAATTTCTTCTTCCTTCTGATTATTTTACTATAATAAAACTAATGCAGAATTTTTATAATTAAAGAATGCACATGGTAAACATCATCTCAATATTTACAACTACAGTAAACTCTAAATATATATATTTACTGGGAGGGGGGAAAAACTAAGAAAACATTTTTTGTTCACTTTATTATTTTTTAATACAGTCAAAAGTCGTTAATCCGGACTCGTCGGGACTTCGGCGATTCCAGATTATCGATTTTTCCGGATTATAGATCATCAATTTAAATCTCGTAAGATGGCATGCAGAAATTCTAAAATTAAAAATATGAAACCGTAATTTATGAAATAAAGAACAATTATGATCTAAAGGGTATCAAACTTTACAAAAAAAAAAAAAAAAAAAAAAAAGCTTACTATTTATCTGTTTACTTTATTAAACATTTCTTTCAATGTAAGTTGTTTAAGTTGCTTCCTTTTATGTGATAATACTTTATCTTTAATACTATAAACAGACATAATTTCTTGTTCAGTTACAAAGTTCCGCTGTTCAAGTCCCGTAATTGCTGTGCCGAGAATACCGACTAACTTGCCAATCGAAATTTTTTCGTTTTCACTAACCTCTCTGTCACCTTCTTCATGTCTTTATCCATTTTTTGCAGCAATTCCACTTTTTGTTTGATGGACATCAAAACGTACTTTCGTTTTGTAGATCCTTTGGGAGCTCCAGCATCAGAAATTCTATTTGACATAATTGAAAGTTCAAGTTTACTTTTATAAAATTTCTCTTACAGTCTGAAAAAAGTAATAAGCTGGATCCCGTTTGAAGATTAAGGAACAACGCAATCATCAACATTAACTGAAATAGATAATTAGATAATTTTAGTTTATACCATCTGTTATACATTAAACACGCATTCTGCCCTTGTGCACACGCATATGCGCGGTCGTAAAGGTCTTACGCGCACACGTAAACGCCGATGCGCATGTGTCAACGCGGCGCATGCGCAGAAAGTTTTTACACTATGTGCTGTAAAACAAAAAGTCTTCATGCAGTTAACTGACATAATATTAATATGAATGCTTGGCCTATTTTCAGAAAATAGCACATGCTATAATAAGGAATGGCCCAGAGAATACAATAAAAGAGTGGATCAGTATACATAATTGCTTTTAGACTACATACGAGGGCTATCCAGAACGTAGATTACGTTTTGGAATAAAAAAATAAACAAAGTATAGGAAACAAATTTTATTATATACAGATGAAAGCCACACTCAAATACTACTTTTCTACATAGTCACCATACAAATTAAGGCATTTATCGTAGCGATGTACGAGCTTGGAAATTCCTTCGTCGAAAAATTCGGCCGCCTGCGCCTTCAACCACTTCGTTACCTCTTCTTGCAGCTGTGCGTCGTCATCAAAACGCTGCATAGCCAGCCACTTCTTCATTGCTGGGAATAGGTGGAAGTCGCTCGGTGCCAGGTCGGGACTGTACGGCGGATGAGGAAACAACTCCCACTTAAAAGATTCAAGAACTTTACGAGTGACATTTGCCGTGTGGGGCCGGGCGTTGTCGTGAATCAACAAGATCTTAGAGCTCAACATTCCTCTGCGCTTGTTTTGAATTGCTCTTCTGAGTTTTTGGAGAGTTTGGCAATACCTTTGAGAGTTTATTGTAGTGCCTCTTTCCAGGAAGTCCACCAAAATTACACCTTTTCTGTCCCAAAAACAGTCGCCATCATCTTCCTTGCCGACATTGTTTGCATGCATTTCTTGGGTTTTTGGGGAGAACTTGTGTGCCCCCCACTGCATTGATTGCAATTTTCGTTTCACAGTTCACATGTTTCACCCATGTTTCGTCACCAGTAACGATGCGATCGAGTAAAGAGTCACCATCCTTATGGTAAGCGTCCAAAAAGTTCAACGCTGCAGCCATTCGCTGATTTTTGTGGTCCTCTGTCAAGATTTTTGGAATCCATCTTGCACAAAACTTGTGGTAACCAAGCTTTTCGCTGATGATTTCGTGCAACAAACTTTGCGAAATTTGTGGAAAACTCAAAGAAAGTTCCGTTATTGTGAAATTTCGATTTTCATTCACGGACTTTAGCATCGACTTTTTCGAGAAGTTCGGCGGTCACTATGCTGGGTCTCCCACTTCGATCTTCGTCGTGAACATTGGTTTCGGCCATTTTGAAATCTTATGACCCACTGACGCACTCCACCTTCAGTGATAATTTTGTCCTCATACACTTCACGAAGCTGCCGATAGATTTCTATCGGTTTACAGTTTTTTGCAGTCAGAAACCTTATTACTGAGCGCACCTCGCGGGATTTTCAATTAACGCAGACATTTCAAACCGTCACAGTATCTGAACGGAGCACAGCACGAACCTCTCACTAGCACGGCTAGATGCAGACTGAGCTGCGCAACGCTCTGACCCCAAGATGGCCGTGCTAGCCCCGCCCCTAGCGGACACAGACGGAAACGTAATCTACTTCCTGGATGGCCCTCGTATTTACCCAAACATTCAGATAAATCTATATGCTACACACTTAGCTTTAAACTAATTTAAAACATTGAAAATATACATTTGTACTGCATCTTTTAAATACTTTAAATAAAAAAATAAAGGTAAACAGATTAGCAGGCTTAATTTAACCAGCCCTATGAAAAAGAAAAAGTAGTTGGATAAAAAGGTGTTCTGGGTATCTGGGATTTAGTTACTTGGAATTTATTGTACATTCATGCATGAATCACCAACATGCATGGTATCAACCAAAAACATCAGCATAAGTTCACCCTTTTTTATTTCAGGATTTACTCATGTAGTGCAATGGCAATGAACAGTTACACAGAAATAGAATCAGCATTGTATAAAAACCATATTGGGTTGTGTGAACAGTGATCATTAATCACGTTTTTTCCAGACTCTGAAGTATGAAATCACAATAAGCTGCATTTTTATTATTTCCTGTATCCTCAGCTGCAGAGATTATTAGCAAATTTGTACTATATATGGTGAGGATGTATTGCTTCAAGGACAACCTGAAAGCAATTTGACTGACTTCAACATGAAAACTGTGACAATAATGCCTTATGCTCCAGCTACCTTTGGTGAAGACTGTTTGAACATTCTGCTACACATGGTTCCTTGTAACCCACCTGTAAGTTGGCCATGGAGATGGATGATGCAATATATGAGGAAAGTCCAGAAACAAATTTCAATTGCAGTACACTCTTATAGTGAACAAGGCTGAACATGTTACCATACCAAGTTGTTTGCCTGCATGTTATTGCAAATGTTGTAATCAACATGATGTTACAGGAAATAAAAAGTGGTCACAAAACATAATAAATATCCTCTGCAGCTGAAGATTTCTCATGGAACAGCAGACCTTGGAAATGATATTCCTTGTTTACTTGATACTCTTTTATACAGAACCAGGGGTGAAAAATAAAATAAAATGCTGTTATTCACAAACAGATAGCTCAATAGAATTTGGATCCATAATAGTACTACATATATTTGATATACAGCTGTCCACCTCTATCATCAGTGTTATCCTATAAAAAAATCACAATGTAAAACAACATGAATTCATGATCTAACACACATATTATCAGAAAAAAGAGATGCAACTGAAAACTTTCTTCTTTCTTAAAGGAGCAAAGTTAAAAAAGTTCTAGCTTTCTTCTTTCTTAAAGGAGCAAAGTTAAAAAACAGTCTAGAGAAACACATTTTCAACAATTTGAAGTGGCATGCAATAAATATCAAAACAACCTCAATGTGCAGATCTGATAAATATTGCCCATAACTGAGCATTTAAATAACAAAATTAATAGAAAATCACATCAACAGAGCAGCAGCAATTTCCCTCCATTGTTCATAAAATACTGAATACACCTTAGCATAAAGTGTTATTACATACAAAATAGTAATTTCTGTATGTAATGAAAAATGTTGCAAGAAAACAAGGAATGAAAATTTTAAATTAATTCTCTTTAAGGCAAATAATAATATGAAACCAAAATGCTTTGAATTTTAAAATGACAAAATTATGAAAAAATGTTTCAATTTTGAATCAAGCTACAAGTTTTTATTAATAACATGTACATATTACTTTTTCAGATTATTACATACAGGTTAATTTGCATATTATACAGAGAATTTTTTATTTTTATTTATGCTACTGTTTTAGAAATTTAATTTCATATTTATTTATATATTAACATACAATTTTTTAAATACCAATCAAATCTCTCATTTCCATTCTTGCAGCAATTTGTATTGTTCATAATAGAACATTTTTTTTACCTAACATTTGTCATTGAAGTCAAACTGAGGAACTAAAAACTCGAGAGAAGGGAGTAGAAAAAACGTTTCTGTGTATTATCTGCCAAAAAAAAAAAAAAAAAAAAAAAAAAAAAAAAAAAAAATCCTTAAAATTATCTCTTTTAAATTTGAAATTAAACCTTTCTTGGCTTACAAGTATTATTTTTTAGGAGGATATCAATTTTCATGCTAAATTTCTGTTTTTGGTTAACAAATCATATGCTGTAATTTTAATATCTATTTGGAACTGGATTTTTCTTAGAAAGAATTACTTTCTCAAGTGAGAGACACTAACTTCCCTAATGAAATTAAATATACACACAGAATTTATTATTAAAAGTAAAGTCTTATAGAAAGTAGAATCACACTCATTTTTATAGAAAGGAAAGTGTTCCTAAAATAATAATAATAATAAAGCATATGCATTATCATAAAAATTTCTTACATTGAAAAATGCAATAATTTCTAAATGTTAAAAGAATCTGAAAATTTGTGGCAATTAAAACTGCAACACGATGAAGGAAAGCAAATACAAGAAAGATATTTAATGTACGTAAACAGTGCAAAATGATTAAATCTG